ACGAGGGGGAGGAGGAAGAGGGGGAGAGGGAGGGAGGAAGGGAGGGAAGCGTCAATACGATAATTCGTAAATAATTCATTGCACCATTTCCCGCGAGAAACGCATATTTTTAATAAAAGTAACTTTTTTCTTTCTTTTCTTTTTTTTCCCCCTTTTTTTCCTTTCTTTCTTTCTTTCCTTCTTCTTCTTCTTCTTCTTCTTCTTCTTCTTCTTCTTCTTCTTCTTCTTTCCTTTGGCTGAGACTTAAGGTACCTCTACGCGCGTCTCTCGATCGTCACGTTCGTCGCTCTCTTCGTTAAAGGAGACAGGTAAGAATCGTGCGTGAGCAAAACGTGCAAGGTCGTTCGTTTTGCTTGTTCCCGGCCAATTCCTTCTTCTCCTTTTCGATGGATGGACGGGAGAGGGAGAGAAAAAGAGAGAGAGAGAGAGAGAAACAGACAGAAACAGAGAGAGAGAGAGAGAAAGAGAGAGAGAGAGAGAGACGGGAAAAAGAAAAGGAGACAGACGAGCGCGCGTCTAGTTACCTCGTCAACGTTCTTCTTACGCGTTGAGAACAAGCGAAGAACATTACGATCATTAAACTTACGTTACATTAACTTATTATTAATTATATATATATATATTTTCACTGTTTTTGTACTGCGACTCTCCATGCGACATCGTATCCTACCGTTACTATTACGCCTTCGACAACCACCCTTCGTCAACTAAAAAGTATAAATACGAGAAGAAAGAGATTGATCGAAAGGGGGACGCTTGCGTTGTTGTTTTCTTTTTTTTTTTTTTCTTTTACTTTTTTACTTTCCGGAAATCGGAACGGTTCTTAAGTGAGAAGAAGAAAGATCAGTGTTCAGAGACAACGAGAATTATACTCGCGGAGAAAAAACTCTCATCCTCCCGAATCGTTCTTACTCTATCTCGAGCACCTACTTATTTATTTATATACGTTCAACGCAATGTATACATGTATATATATATGTATGTGTATGTGTATATATATATATATACATATGTATATCTTTCTCTTTGTAACCTCAGTAGAAAAATTAATTAAATTTCCGCGCGATTCGAGCACCACGAGGTTCTCAGAAACCTTTCGTTTTACGCTTTCACTCGCATTTCCCTCGCATCCCTTTTCATTCCTTCATTCCTTCCAATGGCGATCCAATATATACGTCCGCTCGAACGAAAATATAAAAGAGAAAGAAAAACTATATAATACAACAATCGTATCGTATCTACTATCACATCTTATCTTTCCCGCAAAACGAACAGGCAGGCAGGCGGTTTTTTAACGGTTTCTCAGTTGGGAGGGTTGTACGTAAAAGAAAAAAAAAAAAAAAGAAGAAGAAAAAAGAAAAATGAAAAATGCGAGCCAACGATCCGGCGGTGGCGTTGGAGAGAAACGTGCGCAAAATAATCGGCAGAAATCCTATAATAAAGGCTCGTAAATAAGTATCTCGATATACGTGGCACGACTAACTAACTAACCAACTAATTTTCGAAACTTGCGAAATTTCCTCGAAACCGAGAACATGAGAAAATTATTATTCGACCCATTGTTAATCCTCGTCCTGATTCTGAGGAGATTCTTTCAACGACTCGTCGACACGGGACGAGTGTGTGCGTGAATGTACGATTATCGAACTCGAATCTTTTTCTTTTTTTTTTTTTTTTTTTTTTTTTTTTT